GCCAATCAGGAATGGGTATGCAAATTAACCCCAGCCAAGATGTCTGCGGCCACTGAGTGAGCAGAAGGGTTGGGTTTCCCTGGCAATGGAGGAAGCCAAGCTTTCTGCACACCCTGGCTAACCCAGGCCTCCACTCAAGACTACAAAGTTTCAATTATAGAAGATAAATAAATCCCAGATACCAGGGCCTCCGCTTGGGTTGCCGAAGGATGTGGCCAGCCTGCAAACTTCCACAGGCCCCTTGCCCAGGCCACCCCACCCACCATGGGAACCCTCAGCCTGATCTGGGACACCCTTCAGGGCAAACCAGCTGGCCCCCACCTGTGCACCAGGCTTCTATCCTATGCAATAAATAAATAATATGCAAATTGGCTGTCACTCCAACACATAAGATGGCATCCCCAATGTGGTCAAAGATGGCTGCCCCTATGTGGGCACAAGATGGCCACCACAAGATGGCCAGCAGGGGAGGGTAATTGGGAGGGATCAGGCCTACAAGGTAGGACAGTTGTGGGCGAACAGACCAGCAGAGGAAGGCAGTTGGGAGGGACCAGGCCTGCAAGGAAGGGCAGTTAGGGGCAAACAACCTGGCATGGGAGTGGTTAGGGGATGATCAGGCTGGCTGGCAGGCAGAAGTGGTTAGGGGCAATAAGGAAGGCAGGCAGGTGAGTGGTTGGGAGCCAGCAGTCCTGGATTGTGAGAGGGATGTTCCAGATTGAACAGGGTGCAGGCTGGGCTGATGAACCCCCCCACTCCTGTGTATGAATTTCATGCACCAGGCCTCTAGTTGTTTAATAACATGCTATTATTTATCCTCCATGTATTTGAGTTGTTGTTTTTTTGTTTTTTGTAGTTGATTTCTAACTTCATGCCATTATGATCTGAGAAGGTGCTTGGTATGCTATCAATCGTCTTGAATTGGTGTAGACTTGTTTTGTCCTAAGATGTGGTCTATCTTTGAGAATGTTCCATGTGCATGTGAGAACAATGTATCCTCTGTTGCTGTGGGATAAATGTTTTCTCACTATTAGATCCACCTGATCTAGGGTGCCATTTAAAGCCTGTTTCCTTCTTGATTTTTTATTTTTTTGGTCCAGGAATGTTAGGGGTTTTAAAGTCCCCTACTACAACTATATTGTCAATCTCTCCCTTAAAGTCCAACAAGAGTTATTTTAAAGTATTTGGCTGCTCTTACTTGGGTGCATATATGTTTGCAAGGGTTATATTTTCTTGATGAATCATTCCCTTTAGTGTGATTCTTTCATTTGGGGGTTGTTTCTTTGTCTCTTTGTACTTGCCTCCCAGTCTTTGTGGGGTGGCCTTATGCAGAAAGTGTCTTGAGGGGTCCAGTGATGCAGTCTCTTTGTTGACCTGCACTGGATGGTTTAGGAATGCCCCCTGTGTGCACTGTTTGGGCGCTCCTGCTGTAAGTGGGACTTGATTGTTGATGTCCCATTTGTGGGGGGGATCTCCCCTCTGACATGCTGACAGTGAGGCTCAATCCCAACACCGAGGTGCCAGCTGTTATATAGGTGCTGACAGAACAGAACAAGACAAAGCAGGACCAAACCAAAAACACCAGTAAAATCAAGCCACACAATGCAACAACAACAACAGGAAAGACTAAGAAGGAAATAGATGATAAAAGAAAGCAAAAATGAAGAGAATACTAAAAAACACACGTGACCAAAGACTTAGGGGGAGATAAAGAAAAGCAAAGAAAGAAGAAAAAATGGCTATATGGAAGCAAAGAGGACACTAAAAGAGCAAGTATAGGAAGAAAAAAGAAAGGGAAACAAAATAAATGAGTAATAATTAATTCAATACATAGTAGTAATGGATATATTAAGATATAGAAAAAAGTAAAATGAAAAAATGAGGGGAAAAAGAGAAAAATAAAATAAAAATTAATAATAATGAGAAGAGAGAAAAGGAGAATAGAATCAAAGAAAAAAGAGAAACTAGAGATATGGAAGAAAAAAGAGAAAAAGAAAAAATTAGGAAAAAACAAATAACAACTGCGGTGGGCATTTTCTCTATTTTCCGTGTCCATCAGGTTTCTGAGGGGAGGAGCTGGGGATTAAGAAATTAGAGAAAGAGACAAGAGGCAGAAATAGATTAATCAAGCTGGGTGCTAGGTCGGCACCATCTCTCTGATGGAGAGGCAGTCACACAGACAACACAGCACATTTACTGATTTCCAAAGGGGAAGTTTAAGGTCAAAAGGAGTTTTGGGTGTGCCCAGGTCCTATTCACCAAGATCTGGGTAAGCTCTTTTTTTTTTTTTTTTTTTTTTTTTTTGTATAAGGACGAGATTTATCATATCAAGGCATGGGCAAGTCAAAGTACTATTTGTTCCTCATTCCAAGCACATGGATAAAGATAAGAAATCAGTACTGATAACAGGACTCTGCCAGTGCCCTCTGGCTCAGCTGATAAGAATTAAAAGAATGTCCATGTGCCTTCTCAGGCGGCTCTCTACAAACAATAACAAAAAAAGACACACACACACACACACACACACACACACACACACCTTGAGCCATCATCCCCTACACACACACACACACACACAAAAAGCCCCCCCCCCCCCCCCCCCCACACACACACACTCACCAAAAGACAAAACTACACATACCGTATTCATGCACTCTGAAACCTCTGGGTCTGCTGTCCATGGGGCCCGTTGGGGTTTGCTCTGATGTTGAACCTGGTTCAGTGACTATCCCGGGCCTCCTGGGAGCCTCTCTGGGGCAGGTGAAGGTGCGTCTCTGTCCCTTCCTGGCCCTGGGGAACCTGCTTGAGGACCAATGAGGTGAAGCCCCTCGTAGTCCAGGGGTTGGGACCCCTTAGCACAGAGGCTGGCCTGCCTGAGTCTCATGCCTTGGTTGTCCATTCTGAGCTGCTCTCCCTTCCCCCACGGAGCTGGGCTCTGCTTGGTGTCCTGGTCCCCACAGCTTCCACCCAAGAAGGCCCTTCAAACCGTTCAGGGTGGTGTGGTCTCTTCGCCAGCGGCAATCACTTTCAGAGGAGGCCCTGCAGGTGGGCCCCCAGGATGGGCTGCTTGCACCCCCTCTGTCTGTGAGAGCACAGTGAGAGGCGGCCTCTGCAGTCCAGGGAGAGCATGCTCCCCAGAACCTGGTCACGCTGGCACCTGACCACAGCCTTCCAGCCCCTGGACGGTGAGACTGCATTTGCTTAAGTCACCCAGTTGGTGGCATTTTGTATGGCAGCCTGAGCTGACTGACACGGGTTTTGGCACAGGGCTGCCTGTCATTTCCCCTTGTGGTGTGCGGTTGCACCTTCTATTCTGGGCCTTTCCTTCCCACGGATCCCCGGGGTGGGGAGGATGCCATCAGTGGGCACTGGGCACCTTGCACACCCTGTCTGAAAGTCCCTCTCACCTGCTAAGACTCCTCAAGCAGGGTCCACAGTCGCTGGAGACTCAGGGACATCCTAGGCAAGGCCCTGCCCCCACTCCTGGATTCTGCCTGAAGCCTCTTGGGATAATGAGGATCCCAGACGGGACACCTTATTATCCCAAAGATGTGCCAGCTCTCGGGCGGGTGCTTGATGTGTTCAGAGCCCCTGAGTCACAGCGTGCACCCCTTGGGTGGGGCAGAGTCCGGCCTGGTCCTCAGGGTAAACAGGAGGCCAGGCTCAGGTGTGCTGTCCCAGGGGACAGGGGCCGGTCAGAAACTAAGGACCAAGTGGAGACTGAGCAGAGCCGGACGGAGGGCAAGCCAGGCCTTGAGAAAGGTCCTTAACTGATGTCCACACAACTAGACAGCACCGCCCCCACCCCACCAGGGAGTCCTGGCATTCAACTTGCTGGATGGTGGGAAGTCAGGGTTCCGGGCACAGGTCAGGGCAGCCCTGCTGGGTACCAGCACCGGCCTGGGGCCACTGCCACACACAGGAAGGGGCCAGACTTTGTTCCCATTGGTGGCTGGCTACCCAGCGAGTGTATGAGTGGTGGGCGCAGGCAGAAAACTGGCTTCCTGAAAAGGTCACACTCAGCACAAGGCTCTGAACTCCCCGCACCACTGGCTGCCCTGGATCAAAGCCGGGAAAGGCGGGGTCAAATGCCAGTGGTGGAGAGGGAAGGGACTTCACCAGAATGCCCTCTAGCTGGGGAGTCAGTGTCGGGGAGGATGGGAGGGCTGGCGAGTGTTCGGTGGGGCGGTCCTTGTCCAGGAGGGTGGGCCCTGTTACCGGACAAGCAGGGGTTGGGGTGGGACAAGAGAAGCAATAGACCATGTGACCCCGGTTCTGCACAGGAGTGCGGCTGATGCCCCAGGAGGAAGCATGAGGCCCCTCGGGGTGGGGCTGGGCCTACCACAGGGTGAGCACGGTGACAGGCACAGGGGAAGTGTGGAGGCAGAGGCCTGGAGCGGAGCCCTGGCGCTCTGAGCTGCTGTTACGGAGGCTCTAAAACCACTTCCCCTCTCTGCCCCTCTGACGCACTTAACAAGCAGGACATCCTGAGAACAGAACAAGGGTGGCCAGCAAGCTTAGGCTAGCATTGTCCACTCCGACTTCCTCTTGGCAGCCCCAGCCCCTTCGGGGGGCCTCAGGGGAGCGTGCTGCTGCTGCAGAGGGAAGGCTCTGGCCAGGCCAGGCCGCTTCCTTCCAGGTGAGGCTGGAGGAGACACCGCAGGCCCAAAGGGCTCAGGGCCAGGAATGAAGGTGTGAGCTGCCCGCTGGGTTACATCAGCCACCCACCCCGCGGGCATGCCCTCTGCCGGACAACGGGCAGTCTCTCAGAGAAGCCGCCTGCGATCAAACTGCGGCCCATTACTTTTTCTTCCCTGCCGTCATGGACGTTAACATGTTTCATCAACTTTAAGTTCTCTTCTCTTTCCTCCACTACAACCCAGGACAGGAGTGCCCAAAGTTTTGGTCAAAGGATCTCTTCAACACTCTTAGAAATTGTTGAGGGCTTCAGTGAGCTTGTTTATGTGAGTTATATCAGCATTTACCATAGAAATTAAAGCCAGTAACCTTAAAAAACGTATTACCTCATTTAAAAACAATCTATTACATAGTCACTTTATATAAAATTTAAAAGCCAAACTTTCAAAAACAAAAGCAGTGAGCGGAAGAGTGGCATTGGTGTGCATCTCTGCGAAGCTGTCACGTCTGGCTGACGGGGGTTGCACTGTCTGCCCATGTCCTCGTCGGTAAATACAAAGGTCAGCTCCTGCCAAGCGGAGTTGGGGGAGGGCTGTGTGGCCTCCCAGGTCCTTGGCCCGCACAGGCGGCGTGCGGTGGCAGTTAGCGTTAACGTACACATTCTAGAACACAGCGAGGACCAGGACAAAGCCGGAGGGAGGCCCCTCTGAACGTCCTCGGTCAGGAGTTGGGTGAAGTAGTTGATGAAGCAGCTCGGATTGTCTCCCTTCTCCCTTCAGGAAGGGACAAGCCTGCTGTCACAGGCCAGCTGTAGCACACTGGGTGGGCCAAGATTTTTGACATGTGACACACATAGCATCCAGCCAGCCAAGGGGCTCAGGGTAGCACACTCCGTCCTTGTCTGTGGTTACCCAGCATCTGGACACCCTCCTTTATTGAAAATCCTCTGCTGAGCATGTTCCGTAGAGTCCTGCCTCCCCCGGAGCCAGAGACGCCAGATCCTCTCTCCCCGTGCTCCAGAAGCTGCAGCACGAACGCATTCCTGAGGCTTCCCAGTCATGTCCCCCGTCCGGGAACCTGTCCCCCGTCCGGGAACCTAAGCTTGGCGCGACTACAGAGGAATGCCTGGCGGCGGGTGACACCGGGTGCTTACTATTCAGGTGGCAGTGCCATGTGGCATCCTCTCCAATGGTCTCCGAGGGACGGCCTGGCCTGGCTGCACGTCTCTCCATCCCTGTGCTCGCTGAGCAGGACCCGACTTCCTCTCGGTCTGAGCCACCCGGACCCCCTGACAGCGTACTTAAGCTGGGCCTGTTGTGTGCCACCCGGACCCTGGGGAGGGCGGGCTGAGGCCTCCCTTCCTCATTTAGGGTGCTGCCCGGCCTGTCCAGACTGCTGCTTCCGTTTCCCGGGGCGCCTCTGCCCAGCTGGTGTCCCTGTGCCCAGGCTTGCCCTTTTAAGTCATCTTGCAAGCCCTCCATCCTGCAAGCCCTGGGCACAGCACCGCCATGAAACTGGTGTGGTGCCTCCTGTACCTTCCTGTCTACAAAGGGGACTGAATGCAGGGTCTTCCTTCTCTCATTTCAAACCTACCCCCGGGCCTCACGGCTACTCTTCTAATGATTATTACAGCACGAATCAATTCACTTCCAGAATAAAGGATGCTTGTAAAACGGGGAAAATCATTCATAACCAACCACAAACTTTTTCTTCCATCTTTAAAACAATCTTGCAACATCTGTGCAGACTACATCTGTGCCTTGGGTTTGTACTGTCCCACTCTACCGAGGTTGGCCTTGGCCTTTGCTTTGGCCAAAATGCACGCACTTGACACACATCACCTGGGAGCAGGGCTCCATCTTTGCCTGCAGGGTTTGGCTAGGCCTCTTGTGCTTCTGCGGGAAAGAGCATGCCCCCAGGAATGCTGCCCCTTTGCCTGGGACCTGGACTCGAGTCAGGGATGCCTGTGGAGGCCGAGGCCAGACCCACAGCCTGCAGCCCAACTGCTGCAGCCACCCTGCAGACCTAGCGTGAGAGTTTGTCACTGTGGGCCACTGACATTTTTGAGGATATTTTCCCGCAAAATATGACTAATATGTAGTCATAATACAAATATAACTAGTACAAGAGAAACCAGTTACAGAATCTGACACATGCTAAATACTGTGAACAGTCAGAGGTGCGTGGCAATTAGGTCAATCCCCAGGCACAGCTGAGACTGTAAATTTGCAGACTAAACAACTCTCTTCAACACATCACTCCCAGGTTACTCAATGGTCCTGAAGCAGGAGAGAGGCCTGACCCCGGATGACCCAGCTGCCGGAGAAGGCTTGCAATTACCCTCAGGCACAGGCTCTCCAACAGGAAGCCACCTTGGGGTAGAGCAGGTAAGGCAGGTCAGGTTCAGAGAGATTGTTCTAGATCCCAACCAGCCCCTGGCCTGACACTGTAGTCAGGAGGGACTGGGAATCCCACTGTTGCCCCCACGTCTGCCCTCAGATCTCTCCAGAAACCTGTCCTCCACTCCTCGACCTTACTGAGGTCCATGTCAGAGATATTACCTGGGGATGGAAGATCAATCAGGGGACACTGGGGTCCGGAAAACAAAAATGGGACTGCAGTTCCGGGTGAAGATCACCCCCGGGGCAGCAGCGTCCTTCTGCGCGCTTTGCATGCCTGCTCTTGGCCTGTCACCTCCCACAGGTCAGCTGCCAAATGAGCCCTACTTTCTTGTCGCTTCTAATTGCATCCTTAGTGCATGTGGCAGCCAGATTTGAACAGCTCTCCACCGTATCTGCACTTCCTAACACCAGAGTAGGTAGGTAGGTAGGTCCTCAATGAATATCTGAAAAAAGGAATGAATGAATCCTTGCTTACGATGTTAGATCCACTGCTGCCCAGGCCCGCTTCCCACATGGACAGCTGGTGTGAACGGACAGCGTGAGCATGCAGGCGGCCTGGGCTCAGGTCTGGCTGACTGAGCTGAGCTGTGGAGCCTCAGGCTTCAGGTGCCCAGGGTCCCAGGGTCGGCTTTTGTAGCAAACATGTCCCCTCACCAGGTAACTCAGTTACATAATTCACAGGAAGCACAATTTTGATTTTTACTAAGGTGCTAATAAAAATGAATTTCCTCCAGTCTTCTCCCCAGTAATATTACCAATACTCATCTTTATTTTACCTCCTTCTGAAAGTATTTACTTGTTCTCAGTCACAACATTACGCTCCCAGGATCTGGCTTTTGCCTTCTGATTCTCTGGTACATCACCCGTACTTACAGAAATATTATGCTTTCTTTAACCTGAAAAATTACTTCTCTGTGCTGATAGATCAAAAAATTTAGACCTTATTACTGTGATCCTGTTGGCCATTTCTGGTTGAAGCCACTGTCTCAAGCTTTCAATGACAAGCAATACTTTATGGTCGATGAATACTGTAAAATTCTTAGAAATGGACCAACCACTTGCTTACTTCGGGAGTTTCTGAACAGTTGTTACTACCTGTGTGGGGAAATTCAAGGTGTTAATTGTCACCTTATGATCTGGTGCTACACTGGAGCATGTCACTTGTTCTGAGAGAGAATTTAAAACTGTAGAGATTGGGTCACCTAACGCCTGAGTATTAAGATCCTTGGGATTTTAAACCCCTATGTTCACGCCTGGTACTTTGATAGATCCCACATTGGGTACATATTGATGGTTTAAGCAATCTTTAAGAATATCACAATAGACATGTATCTTTAAATATAAACTTAAAAAATACTTTAACATAACACGTTGTACTGCATAGAACTAGAATTCAACACATTACAGTGCTAAAATAGTCATATAAATATCATATACATGGACTCACTGCATTAAACTATTTCATCTAGTAGGCTATCAAAGACTAGTATCAATAAACTCCAAAGAAAAAACGACTTTAACAGTAGGAACACTAAAAATAACAACCATGAGGTTTATAAACAGCTAATGGGAGAGAGAAGCATTTACATTTGCTTTCAATTTTGTCCCAAGAGGCACAATCTGAAATACAATTTTAGGCTAGCAGTGTATAAAAATACTTTTTATAACAATACGTTTGATAGGTGTAGTACCCCTTTAAAAAAGCCTTAGCTGTGTGATTATCCCACTTGAGGACCTACTAAAACAAGTTAACTTACTGCTCCCCATGGGCTCTTCAAGCACCAATCAGGGAAGCAAGTTTTCTCACACGTCACACACCATACGTGTCACCGTATTTCCAATAACCCCCTACCCATGGCATACACTGTGAGTCCCCAACGGGCATCCATCTCAAGGCATGAGATGACGGTGTTTGGAGCCTGTTTTCAGTTGTGGGATTGGGATGGATGAAAAAGAGGCAAAAGGTAGGCAGGCTTTGGGTGTGTTATGTATGGTTTCTACGTATTCATGGACACCCCCCCAGAGGGGTTTAATCTGGCATATCGATATTTAACTTGGGGGGTGGGGGAACGTATTTCCCAGGGCTCTGGGTTATAACTACCCTGGCTTTCTTGCCAAATATTGGAGCAATTTTAGGAGCATCTGGAACCGACGTTTCTTCGGGATCTTCGCTATCTTCATGATGGAGGTCGTATGAAATGTTCCCATATTCTCTCAAAAACGGGAAGATTTCCAGCAGAAACTGACAGAAATCTCTGCGAATACCAAACCACCAGTGGTTGCCCCCCTTCCGCCGAAAGGTCGTGGCCATCAAGGTTATTAAGGAAAGCCAGAGCGGGACAAAGATGGAGATGTAAGAGAACGTGTTGTGGCCATCCAGTCTGTGGACCAGCAGGACCTCAAACGTGAGCAGCGGCACGACAATGGTGACCCAGCTGATGGCCATGGTCACGTGCGTTCTCCGCTGCTCGGCCACCACGTCCAGGGACCGCAGGAACAGGAGGGACCAGACGATGTAGTAGAGGACCACCAGGCAGAGGAAGGACATGAGGATCCAGAGGGGCACGAACACCACCAGCCAGGGCCAGTGGATGATCCTGTCCAGCCGCAGGGCGATGAAGATGAACTGCAGGATGTTGACGGAGCACAGGATCTCCAGCTCCAGGGACCGATCGTGCCGGAAGCCCCACACGCAGGCGGCCACGGACACGGGGGAGACGAAGAAGAGCGGCATGAAGACCAGCAGCCAGAAGTGGGTGCCCCGCTCCACCCGGTCGCACACCAGGACCTCGAACATGAGCAGCAGCAGGTGGATGCCCACGGCGATGAGCATGGCCTTGAACTCCACGCAGGTCTCCCCCTCGGTGCGGTAACGGGGGTTCCGGGCCCACACGCCCGCGCCCACCGAGGCGCCCGCGATGACCAGCAGCTTCCACAGCCATATGGGGGCGAAGACGGCCCAGTAGCTCCACTGGATGACGCCGTCCAGGCGCAGGGGCAGCAGCACGGAGAAGAGCAGCAGGCAGGCGTAGATGAGGAACTTACTGGGGTTGAAGTCCTGGAACAGGCCCCTGGGGTTCATGGCGAGGCCGCCGCCGGTCCGCCCGGGGCCGCTGCTCCGCTCCGCTCGCCGGCGCCGAGTCTCCCCGCTCCCCGGGGCTACCGGCTTCCCCGCCCGGCCCGCGTCGCCGGGGGCGGGCGGCGGCTGGGGGCGGCCGGGCCGAGGTGGCGACCCGCGGCGCCGGAGCACGTGGCGCGGTCACGTGGCGGCGGAAGCGCGGGGGCGGGGCGTGCGCCCCCCGCTCTGCCGCGACCCGCCGCCCGGGCTGCGCGGGTCCAGGAGCGCGGCGCCGCTGTGGCCGCGCCGCCGCCCGCCTTCACTCCATACCTGCTCCCAGGGGGTCCTGCGCTGGCGCCGGCGGGGATGGAGGCGGCTCCGGCTGGGGCTCGGCGCGCTGCTGACCCCGCAGCCGGCCCGTTGGCAGCGAGCGGGCCGCGACCTCAGAGACGCTTCCTGGTGGAGCCAGAGCCGCGAGGCGGAGTGAGCTCACATCCTCCCGGCTGCTCGGGGGCGTGGCCAGGCGGGGCGTGACCGGAGGCGTGGCCAGGCGGGCCGTGGCCGGAGGCGTGGCCAGGCGGGGGCGGGGCGGGGCCGGAGGCGTGGCCAGGCGTGGCTGGGGCGCACAGGAAGTCCGTGGGTGCGCGGCCGCCTAGGGCGCGTTATTCTTGGCCGCGAGGTGGCTCCAGAGCCGGGAGCGCCGAGGGGACCTGCGTGGGCGCGAGTGCAGCTGGAGGAGTGGGTGCGGGTGCCTGTGTGGGTGTGGGAGGGAGGCCGGGTGTGGAGTCTGCCCCGGGTAAAGTGGGGGCTGTGCCTGCAGCTATGGGTCCCAGGGCTGGACTCCGTTTGGTGGGGCAGCAGCGGTTCTCTGGCGGCGGCAGGGCGCTCATTCCTGCCCTTTTGCACCCAGAGGTGGAGGCGTGCGTCGGGGAGGGTGCTAGGCCCGTATTGCCCCTCGGCAAGGTCTGGGCAGCAGGTGAGGAAACGGCGGAAGAGCAGGTGCTTCCCTCCTTAGTCACCCAGCAGGTAGCACTCATTCAGGGCTCCTGACTTTATGCCCCTAATCCTCATTTTGACTTATTTGGCCGTGCCCCGGGCTCGTTCTCACAGAACAAGGTTGGGGAAATCTCTGGACCAGAGGTCAAGAAATTTGGGTTCTAGTTCAGGGCTTGCCACTCAACCAGCTGAGAAACCTGGGCAAATCCTCCCCCTTCTGTCTCAGCCTGTTTCCTGGGCTGCCGAGTGGCCTCAGGGGCCCATGGTGCTGCCGCAGGTCTGATGTGGAGAAGCCCTCTGTGGCCAGCACGCGGACCCTGGCGGACTCCTCCCTCTCCACGCTCCCCTGCTCAGGGGAGCCCTGGCTGCTCGTCCTTCCTGCCTGTCCGCCGCCACCCACCCACCCACACAGCCCCATTCCCCCCAGGGGTATGAATACCAGCGCTGACAGTGGGCTCTGAAAGGGTGGCCGTCAGAAGAATGCAGAACGCATTTGGCGGCGGGGTCTCCATGGGGGAACAAGGGAGGGCTTCCCGGAGAGAAGTGTGGGCCTGGGCCCAGACCTAGGAGCTGGCTTTCCCCTGGCTGGCATCGGCGGGATGTTGGGAAGCGTGGTGTGGGTGGACAGCCCCAGCCCTCAGCTCCCCCACAACTGCTTCCACCTTAGCTGGGGGGAGGAGAAGGGAGGTGAGTAGGGGAGAAGATCCTGCTGAGAGAGCCCTGACAGTCCTCGGGGGTCAGATATCCCAGATGTGTCTTCAGGGAGTAATTGTGGGGAGAATGTTAGCAAGTGGCCTCCGGTCTCCCCCTCAGCCCCTTCCATCCAGAGCTGCTCTACTCTGCTTTGCATATGGATTTTTCTTTTACTATTTCCTTGAGAATAGGGATTTGTCAGCTAAAAAAAATGTAAAATACCCGTACAGTCCAACTATAAGGGGGGCTAGTAAAAGCACGCCGGTTGGTTTGAGGATTAGATCAGTCAGTACCTAGAAAGCAGTGTGTATTTAGAGAAAAGTGAACAATTAATATGATGATACGGGAGGAAGCCTGAGGCGGGGGGGGGGGGGGGCGCTCTGGACGTGGAATGGTGGGGATCTCCTGTCTCTTCTGCAGCCTTCGTCTGACCTCAGGGCTCTGCGCCCGCTCACTGCGAAGACGGGAGTGTGGAGCGTTCGCTCATCTCGAGCTCGTTTAAGACGAGCAGGGCTCTCCTCATGCAGGCGGCGGGTGTGAGGTGGCCGTCAGTGTGCTGCGCCCCTGCTGACCACTCCCGGGGGCGCCACGGCCTCCGGAGGCAGAGGGGCTGTCTGCTCCCCTCCACCGGCGCTCCCGGCCCCCAGGCTGGACCCAGTCTGTACACTGAGCACTCTTCTCTGAGCTGCCTGGTGTGGTCCGTCTCTCAGGAACCTGCTTTTGTTTTTATATTTAATTTAAAAAAAAATATTTTATTGATTTTTCACAGAGAGGAAGAGAGAGGGATAGAGAGTTAGAAACATCGATGAGAGAGAATCATCGGTCAGCTGCCTCTTGCACACCCCCTACTGGGGATGCGCCTGCAACCAAGGTACATGCCCTTGACTGGAATCGAACCCGGGACCTTTTAGTCCGCAGGCCGACGCTCTATCCACTGAGCCAAACCGGTCCCGGCTAATTTTGTTTTAAATATGTTTTTGATTTTAGAGAGTAAGAGAGAGGAAGAGAGAGAGAGAAACGTCAATGATGAGAGAATCATTGATCGGCTCCACACTCCACACTCCACACTGGGGGATGGAGCCCGCAACTCGGGCATGTGCCCTGACGGGGAATCAAACCTGTGACCTTCTGGCCCATAGTTCGATGTCCAACCACTGAGCCACATCGGCTGGGCTCGACTTACTTTTAAAGTTCCCATGGACTGTCTGCTGTGTGCCCGGTGCTGAGGACACAGCTGCCAGGAGGCTGCTATACAAGCCCATGCAGGGGGTGTGGGGCATGGGTGCTCCGGGCCGCCAGCACAGGCCTCCGAAGATGTGACTGCTTACCATCCTCAGTCCAGCTGCTGGGAGGCCCCCGGCTGGCCCTGCCCCCTGCGGGCTAAGTCCCTTTCCCGTGTCTGCTAACCTCCCCCCGAATGTTCCAGGCACGGTCTCCACGTTCATGCTCTGCTGCGCTCTGCTCAGAGCGGCCCCCCTCCCATAGCCTCTCCCCTTCCTGGACCACCAAGACCCAGCACGGCCACAGGCCCTGGGAAACCCTCTGGTGGGCTGGTGACCCTTCTCTGACCCCCCACTAGATCAGGACTTTTTCTATCACGGGACTCATCTCACTGGCTTGAGTCTGTTTTTTCTATCTTTTGCCCCATGAGATCTAAGTTCTAGAAACCCATCCAGTGCTTAACATAGCAAGTGCCTGAAAAATGTTGCTGGAGGGATTGTGTGCATGAATGTGACCCTAACTCATGACTGATGCTCCTGCCCCAGATCCCAGATCCGGGGTTCCCTCCCTCCTCCCTCCGAGCAGTGTGGAACCAGCAGCCGTCCGAGTCCTCTGGCCCACGAGTTCCCTGCCACATCCCAGGCCCTGTGTGGTGCACTCCCTGGCCAGGCTGATCTGGCTGCAGACACCTCATGAATTAGTCAATCGTTTCCAATTACCACTGTAACAAATTGCCACCACACAGTGCCCACTGATCATCTTGCAGTCTGTGAGTGAGAGTCCGAGCAAGGCCCGCTGGTTCTCCCCGGAGCCCCCCGGGGATGGGGTGTCGGCAGGCTGCGCTCCTGGAGGCGCTGGCGGTGAGTCTGCCCCCGGGCTCACTTAGTTTCCTGGCAGAATTCAGTCCGTGGAGCCGTAGGTCCGAACTCCCCGTTCCCTTGCTGTCAGTTGAGCGTCGGTCTCAGCCGCCCGCAGTTCCTGGCCACTCAGAGCCCAGCAGTGGGCCAAGCCCTCATGCTTTTGACCCGTTTGCTGCTCTCTCTTCTGCCTTTCCTGTTTCTAAGGGCTCATGGGATTATGTAGGGTCCAGCCAGATAATCCAGGGTAGTCTATTTTAAGGTCAGCAGATTAGTAATTGTAATCCCATCTGCAAAGTCCCTTCGGAGCAGTACCTCTGTTAGTGTTTGACCGAACGACCAGGGGATGGGGGGAATGCTGGGGCCTCCTTAGCTTTCTGCTCAGTAGCCTGTGGGGCCAGCATGGTCTTCCTACTCTGAGCTGGGAGACAGCCAGCTCTGGGAGGCCCGGCATTCCAGAGGGAGCCCTTTTCCGAGGGCCCTCCACCCGCAGACCGGTTACCTCTGGGTCCCAGGTGGCCCGCGGTGACACCTGGCGAGCTTGCAGCCATACCAGGCCAGCTCCCCTGAGCACTGGGCCCTGGGCAGGAGTCAGGTTCAGTCACGGCCCCGTCTCCAGGAGACAGGTTGCGTTGTGAATGTCCTCCAAAGGGGCAGGCGGTGACCTCTAAGAAAGCCCGAAAGGTCTTTCAGACCTGGTTGCGGTTTGTTTCCATGAGCTTCTCCACAAGGAAGCCATGGCTCACTGGCCCCTTTCGTCAGTCTTAGCCCCCACCCTCACCCCTCGGCCCAGTCCCTAAAGGCCACAGGCTCCCCTCCTCCTGCAGTGGCCTCTGTGGGGGGACTGAGTAGAGGATGCCGGAGGTTAGAGGCCTTACTCGCTGTGTGTGCGTAGGTAATGACACAGCAGTATTACTATGTTGAAGGCGCCTGCAGGAGGGCAGTGACTTAGCAGAAGTACTGCACGTACTGCGTAAGCGCACCCTTACATAACCTACTATTGTTAATGTGACACCGATGTCAGCAATGGTACGAGGCCTCTTTTGTTTGAGCGTGTGCATAAGGTGCCACTGGTCAGATGTTGGCTGCTTTGCTCGTAATAAAGTATGTCCTACCTACCTATGGCTGCTCAAATGTCCCAATTTCTGGCATCCAAAGGGGTCAGGTCCCTGGCTGAGGAACGTGGGCCCGACAATTGGTATAGTTGTTGCAGGACCCTGGGGTAGGCACCCGTCTACCCCGCCAGAGGGCGTGTGGCCTCCCATGGGGTCCTGATGACTTGGACCGCCCAGAGGTCTGGGAGCAGGTAGAGGGAAGGCCAGCAGCCTGGAGAAGGCTTTGTCATCCGGATGGATCAGGTTCCCAAAGACCAGCGGAGGCTGCCGGGAAGGGAGGCTGGTTGCTCCTAATGGCCTTGAAACTGCAACCCCGCCGGACGCTGGCTCGGGAAGCCAAGATGCATGAGTTACAGGGACTGGAGGAGGCACTGGAGGCGGGACGTGAGCTGGAGCAGGAGGCAGCCTCCCTGGGACAGGAGGGACAGCGGAACGCGAGCCAGGAGACGGCTCAGAGGATAGTTACTGCTGGGCAGCGGCCCCTGTGCTACAGGCATGACAGATCAGGAAAAGGCGTCTGGAGCGTGATCAGTCTGTGGCCCCTAGGAGGTGGGGCTTGAGGGCCGCCCACGGTTACTGATTTATTCCACTCTACCCCCAGAACGGGGAGGGTTAGGAC